CGTAGGGCAGTTCGTTTCTTCTGCGGTCGATGGCAATAGACGGTCAACTCCCTTGCCTTTGCTACTAGCAGTAATTTCTTCACCAATGACATCCTCGCCTATAACAGAGGATGAGCTACTAGTCTCCCTACCTAAACTGGACTCGGCAAGAACGTCCAAAGCGGAGGCGCTAGCATTATTGCTGTACAAGCCAGTCTTGCGAGCCACCTTATCCGCCTTTTTAGCTTCTTTCTCCTTCTCCTTCTCCCTCCTTTTGGCCTCTTTTCTGGCCTCTTTCTCCTCCCGTTTGAGGCGCTCGTCTTCGCTAGCCAAGCTCAGTCGGATAGCTTCCATCATCATCATTTCCTCAAGATCGTCAATTCGATTGCGCCTCGAGCTTGATCGACCAGCGGGGTGGCCGGCTCCTTCCTCGGCAGAAGCAGAATCGGTGTCTTGTCCAGCTGCTCGAGGCGTCCGATCAGCACCTGTACGCTCCGTCAAGAAAGCCAATGCATTGAGAGCGGGTGAAACGGTCCGGCCGCTATACCCTTCTCCGCCGGTGGCTCTTCGCATTCCGCGCCGTCCGATGCCAAACCCGCGCGAGTCACTCCCAGATGCACTAGGGTTGATCAAATACGCCGCGGTGTGAAGAGCAGTCGCAGCTGCAGATCGACGTGCCGCATGGGCTCGTGCATTCGATAATTTGGTCGCCCAGTCCGGCCGAATCCTATCCGTGGTGACCACTGTGGGGTCAGTGGCCGATAGTGAGGTCGCACGGCGGCGACCTGGCACAGCTGCAGTGGCAGACGATAAAGAGGAGGTGGAGGATACAGGAGAAGTGAAGTTGGGTGAGAGTCGGGCGCCGGGGTCTGCAGCATAAGTCAGGCCCCGTCGGAACGATGGTGGTGCGTAGGTGACTCCGAACTCCGGCTGGACACAGAAGGGGCATGCCGAGGGCTCAGAGACCAATTGTGACTCGGTCGACTCAGGCTGCTCTCCCTCGACTGAAGGCGCATTCGCGTTGGGCTCTCCATGCTCTGGGGGGTGCGGGTCCGGGCGCTTGATCTGCACGAAGCACTCGGAGCAGATGGGTTGATCACAGCATCGGGTACGGTTTAAGTACGGCGGATAGTAGAGGAAACAGATAGGACATTCGCTTGCGTCTTTGTACAAATTAACTTCGATCGGTTGCCCGTTGACAAATGGGTCCTTGGGAAGCTGCAGTTCCCGGGGGGTTAGATCTGTTTGTGAGTTGTGCTTGGAGGTGGTCAAAGCAGCCAAGGTCTTCGCTCTTGTTCGGAAAAGAGGGGAGGTGGATGTTCCGGATGCAATCGGAGATGCGGAGGGTAATGATTGAGGGGGGTTGGAGGACTGCGAAGCATCTGAGTTATAAGATTGCGATCTGGACGTGATCGGCACTGTCAGATGCTGAATATTTGTTGGATCCACAGATGATTTGTCTGTGATCTTGGATAATTTGTACTCTAGCTCGGGCGGAATCTCATCGGGCAGGGGAATGGGCATGCCACGTGCAGCCGCCATAATCTGATGCTCAGCCCACGACTCCGAGAAGTCATTAAGACCTCTCCAGAAGGGAGCTAGTCTGCGTTCAATCTAGACCCGGTGTCAGTATTGGCTACTTCGTATCGAGGGGGATTCCAGGGAAACGTACCATCAGTTGGCGCACCACTACCTTATTGTAGTCTTCTGTCCCCACATACACGCCCTGTGTCACGAGATAGCCTCCATCGACATGCTCCTCCTTCATACTGCGCTCCCTCTCTTTGAGACGAGCCACCCGTTCCTTCTCCAAGCGGCGGGCCTCGCGCTCTTGTTTTGTTTCTCGCCGATTTTCTAACGTGACCACCTCTCGGTCATGACTGCCGATTCCCAGAATCGAAAGGTCAGGCCTACTGCCTCTTGCTGACCGAGAACCATGATACGGTCGACTTGAGGCATCGGAAGCGCCCGGGGATAATTGACTTCGACGACTTGACGGGGCTGTGGAGCGTGACTCCTTGGTTTGGGAGTTTCCCATATTAGAGCCCCGATGGATGTGAGGGGAAGGACAAGATATGGGGTTAATCCACAGGTTCGACAAGTATGATAACTCCGAATCGGATATGACGGAAAGGGCCCCCAAGGGGGGGGTTGTATTGGTGGGCAGTTGAAATGGGGAAGGGTAAAGGGAAGAAGGTTAAGGCCAGAAAGTTGAAAGGCTAATAGTAAAGAGGAAGAGAGAGAGAGACAGAGAGAGAGGGAGAGAGTGGAGGTAAGAGGAGTAACTTCCAGAGCGGGGGGTAGTGATCTGTCCGGAGTAACTGGGGAAGTGAGATCGGTGAGGAATTTACTACACTTCCCCCCCTAATTCAACGTTCAAAGATGTTTACAGATTCATTATTGAAATTGAAAAGCAAAGATAGAAATATCGGATGTGGCGGATGGTATTTTTTTTTGTTTTTAATTTTTCTTTTTCATTGGGCAAGTATACTTGTTTATCTTATTGGAAGGCCTAGACTATGTGAATTACTATGTGAATTACTATATAATAGATTCTTATAAAACAAGCATTACATTACTCCGTATATCTAGGTAGAATGTGTACAAAGCTATACATGATCTACATTCTGTACATGATGTAAATATATAAACAGGTTACCTAGGTAAATAGCAAGCTTTTGACTAATTCTCAACCCAGGATCACCAATCCATCGTCATCGTCAAGTCATGAGTAGATTACACTCCACTTCTACTTTTAATAGTGCGATGCATACATCATAGGCCCAAAGATGCTGCACTTTGCAGATCTCAAAGTATTACCTAAGCAACCATATGAATTGGGTTATTGCATGTTGTCCATGGACTCACTGAGGGGATTTCAGGCAGAAACAGGCAGTTACAGCCAAATTCAGGCCAACATCTGATCGTCAACCTCGGAACACTCTTAGCCAATGATAATCCATATTTAAAAGGCGGTGGCATAAAATCAGCTGTACATTATTTTTGGCAAAAAAAAAAAAATATGGAAGAGCGGAAGAGCGGTGTTGAAGCTTTGGAATCTTTCCCCAAAAAATTACTTCGAAACTTTGACATGCTCCCACAGGTCATGCATTAGTGATAGCCCTACTCATTCTTATCCCCTACCAAGAAAACTCTGGCAATGACTGAAACGACCAGATTGCATATCACGCCTTTCACCCAGGATATCCTTCCGTCTGTGCTGCCAGCATCTATTCGCAACTTGGCCACAGAAATTTCTTTCCACGAGATTTCTACCTTTCCAGAGAATAACTACGGATACGTGACTCTGCCAAACATGGAAGCAGAGAAGATCAAGAAGAAGTTGAACGGCTCCATCCTCAAGGGCAAGAAGTTCAAAGTCGAGGCGGCCCGCCCTCAAAAGAGACACCGGGAGGAAGAGGATGTGGTACCCGAAGCCCCCTCCAGTGCCAAGAAGAAGTCCAAAAAGTCCAAGAAGCAAGCGTCCGAGGACGGTGTAGTGGAAGGCTTTGAGCTTCCCACAGACCGCAAAGTGAAACGAGGCTGGACCGAGTCCAGTGATGCCAAGCAGGAAAGACGAAAGTCGGAGAAGAAAGAGAAGAAGAGCAAGGAGGAAAAATTGCAACCCAAGTCCAAGTACACCGACAAGTCCGAATGCCTGTTCCGAGCAACGATCCCACCCAACCGAGCGTCCGACACAAATTCCGATGATAAGAAAGCAAAGAAAAAGAAGAAGTCCAAGGATAATGTCATCCATGAATTTGAGAAAACGGTGACCCAGCCAAGTTTCCTACGCACCGCGGAGGAAAGTGCAGCGCCTACGGCTACATTTGAAGATGGAAAAGGCTGGGTGGATTCCACCGGGAATCTGAGAGAACCTGCTAGTGAGAAGATCTCGAAGGATAATTATCGGCCTGGCCAGATTCCAGGAGCCAAGGAGAAGCGCCGAGCTGCCAAATCGGCCGGCAAAGACGCAAAAAAGCGCTCACGCAAAGCAAAGACCCCAGAGGAATCTTCCGAGTCTGAAGATTATACCTCATCGAGTGGTTCATCTTCAGAGGATAGTGACTCGGAGAGCGAGGTGGATGAGAACAAGGCCGATGAGAACCCTGAAGATTCATCTGCATCTGACGAGGAGGATGTCAAGCCGCAGTCCCAAGAAGAGACCAAATCTGCAGAGCCTAACGACGGTGATGCTAATACATCCACCCAGTCAGACTCGGATGAGATACCCACGGAGGCTGCGCAAGAGGTGGAACAAGATTCATCTGCCAAGGAAGTCCACCCCCTTGAGGCTCTTTTCAAGCGGGCCGCCCCGACAGCATCCGATAACCAGCCAGCTCCCGAGGCTGAGGCTGGATTCAGCTTCTTTGGTAATGACATTGAATCCGAGGATGAACCTCAAATAGCTGAGCCGCAGACACCTTTCACACCCTTCACGAAGCACGACCTACAAAACCGAGGTCAGCGCAGCGCAGCTCCCACCCCGGACACTACTGCTGCCACCCGCCATATGACATGGAATGAAAGTGAGGACTCGGATGATGACGTTTCGATCGACAGTCCTGTCACAAAGGCTCGCGCGGAAGCCGGTGCAACCATGGAAGAAACCGAATTCGCGAAGTGGTTTTGGGAGAATCGCGGTGACAACAATCGCGCCTGGAAGAAGAGGCGACGTGACGCTGCTAAGGAACAGAGACAGAGAGACAACCGGAAGAAGGGAATCAAGGGAAAGTCATAAATCCGAGACCCAGTTTTCTAGGAAGTTGAGAATGATGTGTATCTAGAACTCTAATGTGGTGCTTATACATAAACGAGTCGCCAGCAGCCTTCCAACGACACAAATATCATGTAATTCAAGCCAACTGCATTTCTCCATGGTCGGTCACATGTAAATAAATATAAATATATTAAAACCCCTAAGAAATCTTTCGCCGCTCTAGGGCTGGGGACTTTTGGTGGATTGCGTACGCAGTCATGTGACCAGCATCCATCGTCATTAAACCCAGCCAAACCAGGACATGTCGCATCGTCCACTGCGTGCCCAGGATGTTTTCTACCTGGTCCTCACAGCGCAGCATACAGCTGCTGCTGCTGCTCTTCACATTTTTGTCTCTCACATCATTGGTAGCAGCATCCAGTAAGTGCTAGCATTTCTTCTCCGGTGCCTCATAGCGCCGAGTGGGCGATCGAAAAGCTACCAGCTTCGCGTCGATATTTGTGTGATACTAATACCCCATGCTTACAGCGCCAACTTCCTTCTGCAAATGCACCTGTTTCTCTAATAGTACGATCATCCCCCTCAACCCTGCCAAGTCCGAAACCTCCTCCGGCATCGACCACGTCCTCCGCTTTAACGAGCGCGACTCGCTCAGCTCCGAGGTTGCGCATACCGATGAATACATCAAACGAGCTCAGAAATACCGATCCCTGAATTGTAATGATTGTAATCGCAAGTTCTGTCTCGACTACGAGCTACCGACATGCAAAGGCGCTAAGGAGGAAGATGTGTACACGACTTGCTTCCGTAAGTGATTTATCGGACCAATGGACCAGCTAAGAGAGAAACCGAATTGGATGCGATAACAGATGTGCTGACGGGGTCTGTGATCTCAGAGCGTGATTCACGGAAAGACGAGGCGGTGGTGTTTATTTTTATTTTTGCTACAGGTGGACTACTAGCTTGGGCTGCCTGCAAGCCATGGATTGAGCGATATGTCGAGGTAGGCCAATGCCAACTCTGGACTGAGTATATCTGTGGGAAACTGACTAACTTGATTTAGGCTGCACGAGAACGCAGGTCGTATATACCCGTTGCTGAACCCGATCGCTAAATATGAAATGATATGAAATGATTTGACATATTAAAATACAACCTATACAACATAAGGCTAGCAAAGAGCCTACAAATCCAAGAGATTAGACTTGTAAGAATGATGACATTGAGGATTCGAGATCGACATATGATAGATCCAGAAATGATTACCTGGCGTCAGTATATTAAGTATACTAATGTACATTAAGGACTCCCTGGGTGTAAACTCAGGGGTATCTGTAAAACATAAGTACTTATCTCGTATAGTCTCCTCGTATAATCCCCTATAATCCCCTATAATCTCCTCGTATACTCCGAACGGATAACCCATACTCCGTGCTCCGTAGATAGATCTATTTTTCTTAGCGCCTTGAGATTACCACAGATCCAATCCCCACTATCTGAAACAGGGTAGATTGGAGGACCCTCAACCAATAGATCCGATCAGTTTGGAGGGAATGTGGTTTAATAGGCATTGAGGATCCCCTTACGGAGTATATACCATGCAAATGCACACTGGATCGGCTAACTGGGCTAATTCGAGTGGATATTCAGAATTTTTTAATCTCATTTTTCGATTTTTTCCTCCTTAAATTGTCTCGTCTCCCTTCTTTTAGGTCTTTCAGGAGTATCCATTTTCATACCCCATATTGGAACTGGTGGCGTTCATTTTGGTATACAACATAGAGTATATACTGGAATTCCGAATATGGCAATCTTCGACTCTGAGAAGCGCTCTCGCGGCCTTCGTGTGCCCTCTCTCGCAGCACTGAAGTCTTCAGCTTTCCAAAAGAAATCACCCGATTCTGTGCCGTCCGACGAGTCAACCTCGCCTAATCCGGCAGCCTTCCCTGCCCCTCCACCACCAAAGCCGGCCCCTCCGCCGAACAAGGAACTTCCACTTCCCCCGAAAGTGAACATTCCAGCAGCCTCATCCAACAACCCATACTTCCCTCCGATCCCCTCCGGAAATGCAATCCCAGAACGACGCCCAGTTGAACGGGTCCCCGTTCCAACGCAGTCTCCTCCACCTCGGATGACAGGCATGCGCAGCAAGAAATCACAGCCCGATTTTCACGCGCCTCAACAACAGCCAACTCCAGTGACATACTCTCCCCCGCCCCAAGTTCCGGTTCCAGCTCCAGCTCCAGCTCCCATTGACGAGGCCAACTCTCCTCAGCCGGAAGACTTCATCCCGACCCCAGACAGCGCCGAACCGCCCCTAGCAGTGCCAGAGCTGCCACGCGAGGAGCTAGCTCCCTCACCCTTCGTGCCTCCGGATGTTGAACCCGTGGCACCGAAGTTGAATGAGATCCACCTAACATGCTACCAACAGCACCGCGCCATGCCCGTGGCACAGAATACGTGGTGCCCGATGCCGTGCATGACCTGTCAGAAATTTGACATTGAGATCCGGCATCGCTGCGTGTTCTGCTGCCTGCGCATCTGCGAGTCATGCTACCAGATCCTGCAGAAATGCAAGAATCGTTCCGTGGAGGAGTTGGTTGATCAAATCGTCGCCTGATTTGTTGACATCCTTCTCATTTTGAGGTGTGGATATGAATGATCTCGAGAGCATATATTGCATAATCACTTGCGCAGGAAGTACAGGTCCTGTCAAGGCTGTTAGTTACGTTTTCTTTTTTTCCCCCCTTCTTATCTGTATACCTTTTTTTTATGATACCAAGGACCACGTATATATTATGGTTCAACCAGGAGAACTGAAGCTGCATGTTTATAATGAATAATTTTTTCTTTTTGACATTCATGACATAAGTGTAGCATTTCGTAGAGATACATTTCGTTAATAGGTTGGGCCATGTGCTAAGTATGATGCCAAACTGTCAGCTCATTGCTGTGTCAAGAGCATTCCCATATGGTACAAACGACTCTGATCAATCGTGATCCTCTTCGGTCAGGCCAGGACACCCTTCCAGCTCAAGATCCGTTTCGTAGGCGTATTTACACCAGAAGCAATAACGATATGTCTCGCGCAGAAAGAGAACCAGCTTGTGTAGTCGCTCAGCTGGCTCTAGCGCATTGAAGGCATCGAGCTCCTCGTCGTCTTCTTCCAGCTCTATTTCCAATGTAGAGGTATCTTGATCCAGATCGCCGTTAAGGGCCTTTTTGTCCTCCCGGTCCATAGTCGGGTCATCGTATTCAGGTAGACGTGCTCTGGGAAAAAATGATGAGGGGAGTGAGGATAGGAGAGCATGGCGTGTTTGGCGGTCACTGTCGTTCCTTTCGCGCTCACGGATAAGACCGCGGTAGAGAACGTTAATTTGGGACGTGAGTTTGATTGGCTTCTTCTTCTTCTTCTTCGTAGCTACGTCGGGTCCGTCGCGTGGTTGACAAGGATCTGTGGAGTCAACACCTTCTTTGTTGGATGTGGCCGAGGACCCTGTTCCTTGTTCTTTGTCTTCGTCGGTGGCAGCCCCACTCTCGGATTCCGCATCCAGCCTCTCTGCAACTTTCTGTGCAGCGCGCACTTGCGCTTCGATACGTTTCAACTCGCGCTCTTCACGAACACGATCTCGGTAACTCCCCTCTTCATGTTTTATTTTCTTTGCTGCTTCTTCTGCTTCCTCGCGGAGCTTGCGCTTTTTCTCCGTGTCCAGCCCGATTCCGCCGCGGTTTTCTTTCAATGTTAGGTTCAGCGGTTCAGCGCGCGCTTTGAGGAAAGAGTCGGCAGTGTCGGTAGTGTCAGAGTCGCTGGTGGTAACAGGTTTGCCAAGTACACCACCAGGCTTGAACCCAAGCTTTGCCATCATTTGGAATCCTTTGTTGGTGGGGTTGAGGGTGCTTGTGGCCAAGGCTTCCTCTCGGCGGACGGCTTCCCGAGCGGCGCGTTCGGCTTTGGATGGGACTCGGCCTCGGGCTTCGGCCTGCATATGGAAAAGAATGTTAGAATTGGTTTGGAATTTAGCCGGAGACAGATATGGCGTTTTAGAATGTGGAAGATACGGTACCTCTCGTAGTTCGCGGCGCTTTTTTTGAGTGAAGGTCTCCTTCTGAGTGGGCTCCTCAATAACCATATTCATGTAGTCATCTTCATCTTCCGAAGCCATTGTTGCCAAGAGTCAAGGTATGGTCTAGAAGCTCAAGTAAGTGCCCAGGTGAAGAGGAAGAGATCCGCAGACGGAAGAAAACGCTTTGGGTTTTGCGGGGAACTACGGTGGACCCTCGGAATTACTTAATTCAGCTTGGGGCTCTATTATCTCTATTATACACTGTTATACACTATTACACACCATTATCTACACTATATCGTATATATAATGGGATTAATGGTATTTAACATAGAGTAAATTGGATTTAAAATCATTTCTTTGGACTTTCTATTGGGCAACAAATGTAGAAGGCTGGATTTGAAAGAATATATATGTTATTAGACATAAACAAAGAAGCTATTTAGGTATCTATGCCGAGGAAAACCCCTCTAGAACTTGTCTGTCTTTGTTTAGACACAGACTGGATGGTTTCAGATGTCTTTAAATGTCTCACTATCCTTCTTACCCTAAAAAATGGCTGGGATAGTGTGTATAGGACTACATAGTTAGTTCCTCCTGTAGCAGAATGACTTCGAGGAACATCTAAATCATGAAATTTTACTCCTCTCACCTACTTCTGAGGCCGAATAGTCTGCTGATCCCCAGAAAACCCCTATATATTATGTCTTTTATGGACGCTGTTCTTCCCTGGAGAGCTCCCTTGCTGCACATGTGACACATCCCCGCAAGCGTCGAGTATGCATATCTCAATGAAGCAACAGTGGCGCAAGGGCTTTGTCCTCGTATCACCCTCCAACAGCTGAGCTCTGTGCGTTGTCACCGTGACTTCGATGGACAAGGGTCGGCTTTTCTTTTATGTCCGCGGGGCCCTTTATAAGCCATGGCATCGACCGGTTCACAATCAGACTGTCAGGCACCATGGCTATTCTTTTTGCTATCTGTTCCTTGCTATCTATAGCATCAGCTTCTACAGTGGTAGATCTGGGCTATGCTAGCTATGAGGGTCGTACACAATCCACCGGAGTCACACAGTGGCTTGGTATGCGGTTTGCTGCTCCTCCTGTAGGAGATCTGCGATTTGCTGCTCCCCAAGATCCTTTGTCTGTCGAGGGAATACAGCAGGCAACCGAAGTATGTATCTCTTGTTGTATTCGGTTACCCATAGATGGCTACTAACTATGCACTAATAGCATGGAAGTATATGCATCCCCACAGCAGCAAGTGAAGGCCGGGCAGTCCCACTAGGAACTTCAGAGGATTGCCTGTTCCTTGATATATATGCTCCCACGGCCGCAGTGAAAGGGTCAAAGAAACTACCTGTCTTCTTTTGGATCCAAGGAGGAGGCTTTGCAGTCAATTCAAACGCCAACTATAACGGCACTGGATTGATCAAGGCATCTGGAAACAACATGGTAGTGGTCACTTTCAACTATCGAGTTGGACCCTACGGATTCCTTGCCGGAGAAGAGATTGAAAAAGGAGCCAGTCTGAACAATGGTTTGAAGGATCAACGCAAGGCTCTGAAGTGGGTTCAGCAGCATATTAGTAAAGTAGGTCAAGTCATTATTCCTCGTTCTTCTCGTGGTTTCGTTGTTTGAACTGGTGTTGACTCTGTCTTTAGTTTGGCGGAGACCCCAAGCATGTTGTCATTGGTGGTGATAGTGCAGGTGCTGCCTCGGTGACTCTCATGCTCTCGGCGTATGGTGGCAGAGACGAAGGCCTGTTCATCGGGGCTGCTGCAGAGTCCCAGAGCTTTGCCCAGATGCTCAATGTTACCGAAAGTCAATTTGCATACGATGCCCTGGTAACTGCGACTGCATGTAACAGTAGTGAAAATACCCTGGCATGTCTGCGCAACCTCGACGTCAGTGCTTTGCAGCAGAAAAACGTTGAAAGACCCTACCCAGGAGCACAGGGGAAGCCGTTATACCTGTACGGTCCCACGATCGACGAGGACCTGGTGCCAGACTACACTTACCGGCTCTTCCATGAAGGAAAATTCATCAAGGTACCAGTGATATTTGGTGATGACACCAATGAGGGCACGAGATTCGTTACCAAGAGCACCTCCAGTGTCGAAGAGGCAGATACGTTCATCCAGAACCAATTTCCTGCAATCAAACAGACCCATCTTGCCAGAATCAACAGTATATATCTTACCCCAAACCAGACGGAGGAATTCCCTGACGCTGGGTCCTACTGGCGGCCGGCAAGCACGGCGTACGGCGAAATACGCTACATCTGTCCTGGAATTGACATGTCTTCTGTCTACGCAGCGGCAGGTGTCCCAAGCTGGAACTACCACTACGCAGTTCAGGATCCCGCCAACGAGAACTCGGGATTGGGCACACCGCACACCGTCGAAGTGAACGCAATCTGGGGTCCGGCCAACACTGGTCACAAAGCCCCAGCTTCGTACTATACCACCAACGCAGGCATCGTGCCTGTGATGCAGGGTTACTGGACAAGTTTCATTACATCCCTGGACCCCAACACCAAACGCCTTCCTTCGAGTCCAAATTGGCAGACTTGGGGTCAAGGTGGTGATGCATACCAGCGGATTTTCATTCGAACCAACGAGACTAGAATGGAGACGGTGCCACAGGGACAGAGAAACCGATGTAAATATTTGACTAGTATTGGTCTTGATTTGAAGCAGTAAATAATGTATATACCCCATGGAAGGAAATGAAACTGTGAATAACCTTGAACCAATCGATTCTTTACGAAATATGGACTAGCGGATTTTGTAGATATCGTGGATCTCGATGAACTTGACTTTTATTCCCAGCCTTACGCTAGATGAACAATGAGGTATATACCAGCCCAACAGGATGTACAACCAAGTGTGATATATGAAAAACAGACGTGGAACAGAACTCAAAATACAAATTGCGAAAAGCAAGATTACCGCCTGCCACGCGCCCGCTCGTACTCGTTGGCGGCACGGCCCTCCTGACTCTGAATCTCCGCAACAAGACGCTTGTACTTCTTCTCGTACTCGGAGTCGCGCTCCTTCTTCTCGCGCAGCTGCTCGCGAGCAACAAAGCTGGCGTCCTTGCGGAGCTCGCGCATGGCGCCCTTGCGCTCGCGTTTGAACTCCTTCTTGAGACGGTTGGACTCGGCACGCTCGCGGTCTGGATCGTAGTGCTTGTCTGGGTTGAAGTTCTCCTCGAACTTCGGAATGGCTGTCTTGATGGCCAGGGGTTTGTGGTCGTGCAGGAACAGCGGGCGACGAACGAGACGAGCCTGTGCGAGATGGGAATCGATCTTGCCTAAGGTGCTCTGGATGGGCTCCCGGGCTGCTGCGTATACCTTACCCTTGAGGGATTGGCGGAGGTACTGCAGAACGGCACGGACCGGTGAGAAGATCTCAGTGAAAGCAGATTTCTCGACCCAAATATCGGAAGCGGAACCAAGGAGAGACACAAGAGTAGTGAGAAGGGAGATCTTGAGCTCCTCCTGTGCCTGAGGGTCAGAAGGAGAAGTGGTCACATCGCGGAATTGCAGCTTGCGAGGTGTGACCTTCTTGGAAGGCACGAGCTGAACAGATTCCTGTGACTTTCTGTAGGGGAAAGATCCAAACTTGACAGTCGGTTCTGTAGGAGCAAGATTGCAGAGAGCATTTAGAGTGTAGTTGATAAACTCGGGCATATATCTCTTCGAAGCCTTTTGGTATTGGAGGCAAAGACTTGCGGCAAATGTACCACTTGCAAGGTCTGTGAGCGAGGTGGTGGTGCACTGGCCCAGGTATCGCGCCAGGCAGAGATGAGCGGGTGTGGCTGTGGTATGGAAGTGATCGGATGTGGGGAAGAAGGTTGAGAGGCCGGTAAGCAAGATGAGGTCGCCGGGCAGGAGATTGAGTGGGCGTTCCTTGCCAATTTCACGAAGTTGCGCTCGGCATGCGATTGTCACATTCAAAGGATGCGTTTTAGCCAAAGAATGGATGTGACGAATGATATTCTCCAAGATGGCAAATGGAGGCTGCTCGGTCTTGTTACCCATGTAAGAAACATGTTCAACAAGAACTTCAGCAAATCGGCCAAGCTTGTCCTTGTTGCCAGGCCTAAGACGGGGATGATGCAATGCTCGAATGCGCTGGATGACTGTTGGGATTTCCTCGACAGGCACGTTCTTTGTGATACTCAGGAAGCTTTCGTGGTCCTTTGGACAAGGATACGTGAATGCGAGCTTTCCATTTGCTTCCTTGTTAACCTCGGCAGCAGTCGAAGCGGCAGCAGAATCCTCTGTCGGTAGCGTCATTCCGTTGATGTGCTCGTCCTCCCCATCTGGCCCGTCGGACTCATCGCTCGACTCATCTTCCTCCTCTTCCATGTCACTATCACCCATGTCGAGGCTGGCATTTGAATCTGTCTCGACTAGGTCTTCGTCGATGATGAAATCATCTTCATCTTCAACGCCGAGTTCAGGGCGTGTTTCAGTAGGGTAAGATGGAAGGCCGAAATGCATAGCATCATCAATTTCCGACTCGTCATCCTCGGGCATTTCATCCTGATCCATATTGTCCTCCTCGTCATCAGTGAGCTGCTCTCCACGCATACGTCGAAGACGATCGTTCTCAAGTTTCTTGAGTCGCTCGGCCTCTTCCTCCACCTTCTCCTCTTCAGTCTTCGTGCGATCTGTGGGTTTGGATCGCTGATCGAATGTCATCTGCCTGAGGCGCTGATCGTATTCTTTCTCTGGATCTTTGCTGTTTTGCGACTCTTCCAGCATGGCAGCACGCTCTGGGTTCATATCCGAGAAATCCTGCTTCGGTGCCTCTGGCTTGGCCGCCTTGGCTGCAGGCTTGATGCTCCGCAGAGCCTCGAAAAGATCAGGAAGTTCCTTATCCAATGCTTCCCGCAGATCTTCATCATCGTCTTTGGCCTGTTGCCGTTCCGCTTTGTAGAACTTAGACTTGGCAATGACTTCTTTCATGACCTCGGCCTTGGTCTTTTTGCGCCCCGGCTGTTCTTCGTCTCCATAGTCGATGAAGTCCTCCTGGTCCTGATCCTGATCCTGGGTTTCATCGCCATCGGGGAACCGCTTCCGTTTCCGCGACGCTTCCTCGTCGGATTCCGCATCATCCAAGTCTCCGGCCTCGAAGTCGTCTTGGTTCGGTCCATCGAACGACAAAGATTGACCCATGTGAGTAAGCTGCATCTCATCATCATCGTCCTCGAGGTTGAACATGGACTCCTTCCGCATCTTTCTCTGGCTCTCTCGCGCAAATCTCTCGGCGGCCCGTTCCTCGGGTGTCATGGTGGGATCATTCTCACCGAACCGACGATCGATAAGTCCGCCGATCTTATTTCGGCTGTTCATCTCTTTCAGAAGAGTGGCGCGTCGCTAAATAAAGTCAGCAATATAATCGTAATACTCGAGGAAAGCAGATAGACCTACTCTTTCTTCACCCAGTGATTTGGTTACACCTGGGCGAGCGCCACCTCCAGCGGTCGTGTTGCCATCTCTGGTTGTGACATCGAATTTGCTGGATTTATTTATCGTCTTAATCTCGAAAGGGTTGAACCGGTCTCGAATGGCTTGCAAGGCGATCTCGCGCTGGTTGCGATTCTTCGCACCGACTCCGGTCTTCGCATTTTGCCGTTTTTCTTTCTTGGACTTCTGAGGACCAAGAACTCCATTTTCACGGAGTGAAGCCTTCAGCTGTTTGAGCTGAGAAGGCGGCATTTTGTGTGGTTGAGTTTGAATTCGAGAGTTGGGAATTTTTTTCCCCGTCGTGATTCTCATCAAAAAAATCAGGTACACCGCCTCCGCGGCCTGCGCCGATCAAGATTCTGCCGCTTGTGTTCTCCGCATCTCTCCAACTCTCACAACCACTATGGCTCCCTTTTCTGGGGACGGTGTGCTATGGCTATGTCTCGGTATGTACGCATTCGCTTGGCGAATTGAGACTGGCTTGGTTGATTAACTTATCTAGGCGTCTCACTGTTCTTTGCCGTCCGCGGTATCGCCAGAGACCTTCGTCAAGTCGTCGATCTTACAGAAATCAAACATGTTGAGAAGGAAGACAAGATCATCAGCGAGGGAACAGAAGAAGGTACACAGATATCTATATCCAAAATGTTACTGTACTAACGAATCCTATAGCTCTCAAGTTAGACACCCTCTTGAAGCTCTCTCAAAGCACAAGCCATGACCTCCGAGCTGCGTACGCTAAAACAATATTATCTCGAACTACTTTGTGCGCCCGCTAATACTTTCCAGGGCTTTGCGCATCATTTCAGAACGATCTACCAAGGGAGACACTCGTGATTTACTGTTGGAGGAACTGGCATCTAGGAACAAAGTTCACCAACGACGAGCTCTGAATGCAATGAACTTCTTAGTTTCCAACCGAGCCCGTATGCCACCCAATCCGCCTCATTTTGACAGTATATGAATGTTCATATTATCTTACAGTTACTCGAACCTCGATTTGCACTCGACTCGCCGACGTGTCCACCTTTACCGCCATTATCAACTGCCTTTGCAACCTGCTAGAAGAACATGTGGAGAAGACATCTACAACCAATTCGCCCATTCTGCCAAAGACACGGCCGATGGGAGAGAAGAAGGCACTGAACATTCTGAATGTCTTGTTGCCAGAGAACATACCCGACGCACTGGAAGCGGGGGTCGTCAGTCGATGGCTCTGCAGGTATCCATTTCCGTGTGCAATAGCCGAGCCTTCTCGCCGGCGGGACGTGGTGATCCTCATGAAAACATGGTGGTCAGATGACGTAATTATGAGCGCGATCTTCAGCGCGCTTTCCTCGCACCCGGATGGGATCAAGCAGCTGCGAAAATATGGCCTGATGGGCAGCATGATTGAAGAAAATGACCACGACGATGAGGATGACGCGGATAGTGATGTATGGATGGTGGATGCGGATGAGGCAGGGGGCTCCTTTGGACGAACTCCTTCGCGCAGACTTCAGGAGGGGAGTGCCGAAGAGCAAGCACTTCGCCGACGCAGGAGAGAAGCTATGGTTTTGAGCGACGGTGGACGACCAATTGGAAATGACGACATAATCCAACGGCCTATTGATTGATCACGGTGAGTTCGTGCTCTTTATGATCTTCAATGTGTCTACACCAGACAACCATGTCTCAAAACTAGCTCGTCAGCTACTGTATTTTTATGTCCATGATACCCCACGCCAGAAATATGATATGCAATGAATTTAATTGGAACCTCAATGGAACCTCAATATAAACCTAAAGCCCCATCCACGCTGATTTGGCCAAGTGGTCAGTCTTCTTCCGACTGTTCTTGATCACACCGAACGCCTTCAATTCCGAGAGAGCGCCATAGAACAAAGACATTACGACTCGGTCATCGCAGCCATCGCCGTCTTCAGTTTCAAATACACCATAGAAAGCCTGCCACAGATCATGAACATTCACAAGAGCGCCCGAATCAAGATACAACTGATAAAGAATCGCGGTGGCAGGTTGCTTGGCTGAGACTTTGGTCATAGTGACATCCGACGAGGAAAGCAGGTAATCAAAGGGAGTAGCCAGGGCGCGCTCGATTGCAAAGCGCGGCCGAGGGGCAAATGTTTCCTTCAATGGGTTTCGCAGATCAAACAAGAAAGCTTCATGTAGAAACAGATCCTGTGGGTTGATAAGGGTTTCTGTGAGATGCACTTGCAAAAGAGCAACCAGTCGGTCGACGATGTTGGTATATTCCACGGCTTGTTCCGAGAGATCGGCCTGCCCTTTGCTGAGTCGGATACGCTGCTGGACGACAGTGGTTTTTGTGACGGTGCTGTTGATATTGTATCCACTGCGCAGTGGACCGGAGTCCGAGCACGTTTCCAATAAAATCCTAAGATCTTCTTGGATCGCATCGGCTTCTGGACTAATTAAAACTCCCTGGAGACGCACAAGGAGTTCATCCAGTTTGTCAGAATCTAGAGTCTTCGCCGTGGCAACCATTTCTTCCACAATAGTGGACTCAGACAGTTCGCCAGAGAGTGCGCGAATGGAAAGGTCCGACACATTGGTTTTCTTTGCGCTCTGTGTGTATTGAAGGCAGGTATGTACGACGCGGACTGCCTGGAACATGTTTCGCATTCTTTGCTGGTTTGCATCCAGGTACTTGGGCGCCTCTTGGATAAGATATTCGTCATCTTCTAGCATATCTCGGACTTGCTTGATGGAGCCTTCTTCGGCGAGATCCTCGCAGAACCTTGAACCACATTAGTTGAGATGTGACTTGAGAATCGGAGACACCTACATTCGGAATGATGGCAGGTTTCTGACAGCCTCACAAAGCTTGCTTTGGGCGAGAACCGTGGAATCTGGGTTGGCTAACAGTACTGCCAGAGGATTTGCGAAGAAATGAGACATATATGCATACTGTATGAATTAGAAGTCTGTTTTTAATGCCATTGGAGATAATTCTCACCTTGACCATGCGACTGAATGCCTCCGGACTTTGGAAATAGTCACTTGTGTTCTCAAACAGAGTGTTGGTAACATTACGACCCAGCCAAAGGTTGGTGTCTAGATTGGTCTGGAGAGTTTCATAGATGCGGTCGACGCAGTTGCCGGCTTCTTGAACCTCGAAATGCTTTCCTTGAAGAAGAGCGACACATGAGCGAGGTAGTCTACCTTCGAACAGCTCTACCGAAGTAGATATACCCAGTAATACTGTGAATGGTATACGGTCAAGCCACGATCTAGTAGAAGGTCAGTTAGGAGATCGACCAAAGTCTGGAATGTCAATCGCACTTGAATAGAGACAAAAGATCGGTCAAAAGGCCAGGGTCAAAAGCCTCACTATCTCGAAGGGCTAGAACCAATTTCTTGGTACCCTTTCTCTGCACGTAGTCGTGAAGAAGGTCTAAATCATAACCGAGAAGTCGAGGACCCTGGTGAATAATTAGTATAATAGTCCGATGTTTTTGATGCGATTACATACAGCACGATCTGTAAGGAACTTTTGATATCCATCGTTGCCATCTGTATTTGTAACGGCAGCTCGGATAATGTTCTTCAGCGTTGTCTTTAGATTGGGAGCATCGCCTGATTCCAATACCACGACACTGCCTTCTTCGGTTGATATCAATTGGCCATTAAGCCGTGATAGCAATCTGCTGAGCGAAGACACATTTGAACCAACTGTCACCAAAGCTGTAGGAATACATCCATCACATCTATAGCCCTAGTTAGAGCACGTTCGTGAATCGCATCGGGATAGGGACGTACGTCTGAGGTGAGGTGTCTCTGACAAAGGACAACACATCCGTCAAAACTCCAGCATCGACATCCTCGAGGATACTCTTGAATCCTGGTGAGCAATTTATCTTTATGACCACCCATTAATTTGCCTGACTGACCTGGATCTTGTGTTCTTGCTTCGACCAGAGCTCCTGATATGCATCATATCGCAATTGAATGGACTCGGGGTTCTCGTCTCCGTTCAAAAGGGGCACAAAGCGCTGTCGATCAATCTGCTCGTCCTTTCCGGCGGTTGACGAGACTTTGCGGCGCTTCGAAGGTCGCTCACCTGCTGATTTTCCATGTTTGGGCGGTTGGTAGATGTACGCACCCTGTGATGATTTGTTAGCGCGCAACTCCAAGGACCACACCGAATCTCAAGACAAACCAGGTTTTGGGACTTGTCATTTGACAAGCCCAAGGCATCGTTCAATCCATCAGCATCCATGCTGCTGCTCGAAAGGGCTTGGTTGTCGCAATGGGGATGGCTTCAAGGGCGGAAGCGCGACAACGCGCTAAACCTAATCAGGCGATAATTGGTTCTCTCCCGAACTTGAACTTCTTCACTTCTTCACTTCTCCCACTTTTCTGGTCGCATTCGATGACCGATTGACTTCAGACTTCATGCTGCGCCAGGCTATTCAAGGAGCCCGATGGTGTCAGCATGTGGCCCGCAGCCCATCGACACGCGCTCCACGCCGGGTCTTCTCCGCCGTAGCTCCGCGGCGTCTTAATTTTGGCGGACCGAACGACAAAGTCACATTCTACGAACAAGAATCCTCCGAGAGCAAAACACGACGCAGAATCGATCCAGAAGCCGAAGATATTGAGGAGCGAGATGAGGTCAAAAAGGAGCTCGCGAAGCTCGAGGATGAATTGAAGGTTTTGGAGGAGGGACCTTTCGCTCCCAACAGCCCTTTCATGAAAAGTTTGCCAGAAGAGGACCGCAAGATTGCCCTAGAAGCTCTGAGAAAATTTGATGAGGAAAATCCTAAGCCCGCAGATGAGCCTGGGTTGCATCAAGTCTTCGACAAAGAGCTTGATGATATGCTACGAGAGGAGTTTGAAGGCCTCGCGATGGAAGAAGAGAACTGGGAGGATGGCGTCAAGAGTCGGCGAAGACTAGCTGCTAGACGATCTGCCGCAGCAAAGCGTGCAGGGGCAGAGTCTCATCCTTATGCTATAAAGTTTAACAATTCCCTACGACAACTCCAAGGAAAGATGTCAGACGAGCGGGCTCGACAAGACTTATGGAAGTGGTACCGACGATGCAAGCAGACTATCCCAGGCTTTTTAACAATAATGCCTGAGAGGGCACTCGAAACCATATGGGATGCACAAGCAATAGGAGAGTCCGACCAGGCTACACGTTTAACACATTTGCAAATTCTAGTCCAGGACGCTAAATCCATCGGCCAGGAACTGGCCACGCCTCAAATCCTGGTTTACATCACAACTCTGCATGAAAGTGGCTCTACCAACCTTGCACTGGAACAATGGGAGGCATATCAAGCAGAGCTGTCGCAGAAGAAGGAGGATTTGGAAGAATACTGGAAGCTTGGAGTACGATTATTTGCTGCAGACAACAACCCACAACGAGCTCAAGATATTGCTTTGGCTTTCCTGGCAAACGACCGAACTCGTCAGCCGCGTGTACTCATTCCTGTCATCACAGCATGGGGAAGGCTGCCCGGAAAGGAAGCTGAAGTAAAGGCTTGGGCACTTTATCTACAGCTGAAGACATTCTTGGGCTCAGATATGACAATGGAAGACTATGATCAAATCAGCATTGCCCTTCTCACGGCTGGTCGATTGGATACTGCAGTTGCAATCTTCAAGGATATGATGGTGACCGGCAAAGACCCGGCTAATGACTCGACTTCTTTGTACAAAGCCGCGCTGGGTCTGGCGGGTAATCTTCATGCATCGAGCATCAATGAAAACGAAGTGAACAAGGTATCTTTGTCGGCACTCAAGGTGTTACCCCGCCAGTTCCAGAATCGGTTCTTCTATGCAAGTTGGATGAAGAAGCTCATTGGTATGGGCGAGGTCGACTCTGCTGCTCTGGTCATTGAACTTATGTACGAACGGTGTGTCAAACCTGATAGCAAGCACTTGAATGGAATCATTGCGGGCTGGCTCCGCGACGGGAACACAAGTGCACGCGACAAGGCAGAGCGACTTGGCTGGGCCATGATCCAGAAGCGTATCGATGTTGTATGGAGACGATACCAGCCAGCCGAGACTACCCCTCAGCTTCGAGTCAGATCTGGGGAGACAGAGTCTGTACGTATGCCCCAGTTCATGCAGAGAGAGGTCCCGCCTGCGAGCATCGAGACCTTCTCTATCCTTCTTCTTCATTACACACGCCGAGGCGATGACGACATGGTCAAATACTTGGTCAAGTGTCTTGGGGATGCACATATCAAGCCAAACTCTTACTTCATGAACCACCTTCTCTATGCAGAGCTCCGAAAGCAAGACGTGAAAAAACTATGGACCAAGTTCCAGACAATGTCTACCGCCATCCGGCCTGACGTGGAAACATATGCCTGCCTCTGGGACTGTGCCAAGCTCCAATACGACCGCGGGCGTACTGCCTTCGATGCGGGCTTTCCATCAGCGCGTCAACTCTATGCCAACATGATATCCTGGTACTCACAGCTATCTCCTCGTGCCCAAAAAAACACCCAAGCGCAGATTCCTAGAGCTCTATTTGATCAGATTGTACGATGTTTCTGTCTATCGAAGGACCTCTCCGGCACATTGGTCGTCCTACACTCGATGCATTCAGCCTTCGGCTTCGCACCTGATGAAACCACCGCCCGCATGATAGTACTTCAAATTGCGCGACTGGCTGGTGTACCGGCCGACACTCCCAAACGGCGCCTCCGCCGCTTGTCTTCGACACCACGAAGCAAAGAGAATATCGGCCAAGTCAGCCGTTTACTAGAGCTGTTGGGTGACCGCAAAGCTGAAAACCTGCGATTGCAAGGGTTGAGTCTTGAACAGCTGGATCCACGGGAGATGGAACAGTATCAACTAGAGATCATGGCTAGTCTCTTACGGATCGTGATGAGCCGAGCAGATGCTTTGGATCCAGTTCAAGTCGAAAATAAACTCGAGGTAGCGGCGAAGGAGATGTTGGCCGAACATATCGACTTGGGGGTACCCTTGGGGGCAGACGATAGCAAGCTTCTGTGATTGACCATGTCACCCATGTCAGTCACCAAGCTATTCCATTGCATTTGGGAAATCATGGCGTTTGGCGGTTTCACGCTTTGTTTTCGACCCAAATTACTAGGGTTGTGTATATTATCTTTTTTGTATTTAAGACATATAATGTACTTACATTCGCTGTAGGTCTACCATCTACCAATATCTCCTCGGGACTAAATTTGGTTGACCCTTCTTACCTCTCCTCTCTCTATCTCCCTCTCTCGCGTCAACCCAGACGATAGGTCGTGATTGAATTGAATGTGGCCTTGAATTGGCTAGTTCGTGGTATATTGATAGGTTTTCTGAGTATTCAACCTCACCCCATAACTATAACTGGTATAAAAGTGTAATTCATGCAAAACCCGTAGCCCAAAAACACCTAGCAATGAAAGTGTATTTTGAACCCCAGATAAAAGTACAAATAACAGAAAGAAAAAAACAACTCATATCTATTTCTTGCCCTTGCCCTTCTTATTCTTGGCACTTGGCGGAGAAGCAGGTGTATTCGAGGAGGTTTCCGCCTCCACAAGAACAGCATCGTCATCACTGCCCTGGACAGAAGTACCGGCGGCAGGGGTCGTGGGTGCAGCCTCAAAGGACTTGGTTATGGTGTCGGTAGTCTTGGCCTCGTTGGTAGGAGCAGCCGAGCCCTCATTCAACTCCTTCATGAATCCCTCCTGGATACTCGTCTTCTTCTTGTTCCACCACTGGCGCTCCTCTTCCAATTTCTTTTGTTGATCATCCATGCGCCTGCGGTAGATATCATTATTCATCATTTCATTGGCGGACTGGAAGATAGTCTGGCCCCAGCCGGGGACATAGGCGTTTGCCTGTTTGATTTTGATTAGCAAAGCACAAAGCATGTACAATCATTTGTTCGCCGAGAACAATGGTTTCTTGGCGACGGAGAGCAGAGCTTATCATACCTCTGAAACCACATCCTTGACCTCGTCTTCCATCTCCTTCTCCGCGCGCTGGAATCGCTGCCAGAGATCATCACCGACACTACCACGTTGAACGAGTGTTGTGAGAGCTTGCTTCTGGCTGCGCAGCGTCATAATGCGACGAATGTCTTCAGCTGCACGACGGAGAAGAGAAGCCTTGAAGATCGAGTCTGGGATGGCGGGTGTCTTCTTCTCTTTTGTAGAGTTTGCTGAGGGTTCAAGGTGGAGGAGAGAGAAGTAGATATCGCGCTGAAGGTGGGCAGGGAACCATGGCTCTAGAGACGCTGCCTTGTCTATAACGATTCACAAATCATATATTAGCCTCCAAGGACAATTGGACACGCCGGCGCGCGAAATCGTTGGATGTTGAGAGGTCGAGGGTTTCTAGGGATATTTCACATACGGGACTTGCGCTTGCGGTAGAGGGAAGAGAATGTAGCAAGCGATCCCAAGAGAATGCCTAGGTAGGCAATTGGGACGGCGAGACTGAGCCAGTCCACGTCGAACATTGCGGCGATGTGGTTTTTGGGGCAGGGATATAAGGAGGGATTGGAGAGGTCTGGGAAAGAAGATGAGATATAAATGGTCAGACTGTCATTTATGAGTGTGAGGTTGAAATCAAGAAAAGAAGGGTCCTGAAGTGTGAAATGTGGTGGTCAAGCTCGAAAGGCCAGGGTGTTTAGTGGGTCACGTCACATGTTCATTCCCCAAGTATAAAAACAAAAAGTGTAGATCTCATAGGAGTCAAAAGAGTCAAGATTTACAATTACGAAGAGAAGCAACATTGGAGACTATTATTCTCATAGTCTACGTACATTGCTCATGTCGAAGGATCCGCTAGAACTAATTTTTGCATAAACAATTAAGAAAATTGGGTAATTGACACATTTGCTCCCCCTATCCATCTCGCCGCAAACGCAAGGGAAGAGAAAAAAAAAGAGGAAAAAAAGCAGAAAAACCATCGCCAGATCAAAGGGGAATATGAACCGAGTCAACATATTGACAAAGTAAGAAAAGGGACAAAAAAAGAAAGAAAAAGTGAGGGTATTCCATACCCATCAGTCAGCTCTCACTGGAAACTCAGGTTGGCCAAGATATCCTTGGTCTGTTGGCTGATGGGTGCGATCTCCTGCATCTCCTGCATGTCTTCCAAGACTGCATTATATGTTTTGCCGAGACCATCGGCGACCCGAGTACGGTTCCATTCTCCACGCATTTGCCACACGTAGTCCATCAAATTGGTGTTGATTTGCTCCAGCTGCTCCACGGAGAATCCGCTGGTTGACAGAGTAAGCTGTGTGTGTAAACGCTCAGCAACCTCAAGATCGAGGACAAATGGCTCATGGGCTTCTTCGCTTAGAATCGATTGCAAGTTAGCCGAAGCATTGGTTGCTGGTATGTTGGGTGCATCGAACAGCGGGGGTTGCGGCTTCGACTGCGACTGGCTTCCATTCAAACCACTGTTTTCCTGGGTGTCTGCATTGCTAAGCAAAGAGTCCCGGGGATTGGGAGAAGGCTGGCTGCTGTCGTTTTGCTGGGTGTCGGGCAAGTGGTCTTCCTGCGACACGCGATCGGGGTATTGAGTAAGGTCAGGGTATTCGGTTCTTGAGACATGAGGGCTTTGAGTGTGATAGTTTTGATTCGACAGATGCTCAGAGGACTTCTTATCAGAAGTTGTCTGAGTAGTGGATGCTTCATTGGTGTAATCAGCTGGCTGGGATCCCGGCGCCATTGGAGTCATGGGGCCTCGCTGAGAGAAGCTGGAAAGACCAGATTCTCGACGAATCTGTTGAGAAGGCGCAGTGTGGGAATAAGGAGGCTTCGGCTGTGCAGATGGCCCAAATGAGCTTCCCTGGGTGTCCTTGCTACCCGATTGATCGTCAGAATTGGACATGAAAACGTCGCCGTCTCCATCTCCATGGGTACCATTGCTCGCGCCGACAGCATGGGAACCAAACTCATTGAGGTCTGAACCACCGCCGTGGTGATCTCCATTGGCGAAACTCTTGAAATGGGACATGGGGGTCACGGGGCGCGAAGCGGCTTTTCTATCATCCCCATTGTCGGGGAACTCCTCGCCGAGTTGAATTGGACCAGTTAATAGGTCCGATTCAGCGTTGCCGTGCGACACATTGGTCGGCTCAAGAATGGGAGAAGCTGCGTTCTCCGCCTGGGCACGCTTCTCACGCTCCGCGGCCTCCTTTTCGCGAGCCATCTCACGCAGATAGACCTGCTCACATTCTGCCATAAGAGCTGGTTCGGCTACCAAAACACCGGCGATATCAACTTCGACATTAGTCAAAAGTTCACTTGACCGTAAGATGCGTTCCGGGTCACCAGTCTGACGAGCATCCTTGACCATTCGCTTGACATCTGCAACAAAGTCGATGGCGCGTTTGTAGTATCCGTTTGCAAGGCGTTTTTCAATTGTCACAATCTCAAGGTTGTAGTAGAACTTCCCAGTGGCAGTTTCACGGAGACCCAACACACCATGTTTGTCGTATGCTTTCTCATAGGGCCGGAAGGTGTTTTGCTGATCCCGGGGAAGATCACTGGTAACGATGTTGGGATTTTCTTCCTCCCACAAGTATCGGATTTGGGATTCATCGATCACACCCGATCTGAAACGCTTGTACCTCTTGACCTGATCCATGATAGGTTGAATTCTGGTTTTCAAAAGATTCAAGGATATGTAATCTTTCTTCCTCTGAGCCTTGATTTCCTCCTTTGTGAGTTCTACCTCGGGCTTGGGAGGCGGAGGTGGTGCGATCTCCAGCTGTTCCAGCTGACGAAGTTTGCGATTTTCGGGGTTCGGGAATCCTTTCGGAGGAGTCTTGACGAATTCAATGATTTTGCTGAAGAATTCACGACGCGCATCTTGATTTGGAGCAGATAGATCATATAGGTTCTTCTTGGAAAACCCGAACATGTTCTTCAGTAGACCATCATCCACTTCCTCTTCTTGTGATTCAAGAATACCAAGCAAAAGAACTGGATCAGAAGGTGGCACCGACCGCAAAAGACTCGTGAAGGTAGAAATCACAGTAGGCCCGACAGTCTGGAACCACAGTTGAATGTTGGGGATGTAAATGACACTGGGCTTGTGTCGCTTGACCTCCGTAAATAGCTGGATGACAGCTGCCTCCGGGGAGCGGGTTGAGTCACTCAGCAAAGTGGGGAGATCAAAGGCCTGCACGTGCAGGCCCTCAAACACATGCAGTAGCGCGGCCGCGAGGTATTGCTGGCCCATGCCGTGGGGGCCCCGAAGGAGCAGTCGGGGTCGGAAGACACGCGAACGATCAAATTCTTGCAAAAGGAGTTCTCGGGTGAAGCCTGCACCGTCATCAGGCTCCTCATATTGAGCCTCCTCGAGAGCAGTAAGTTTCTTTCGCTGTGGAAGAATCTCGGACAGCAAAGATTTGATCTCGGATAATGGATGACGAAGCAGGGGTTCGATGTTCGGAGGGAGGGCAGTTGCACCAGATGAGGTAGACCGCTCTGAAGAGGGCACCATCTTCTTGATTGCCAGCATGAAATCTTTGGGGGCGACATCGATTGTCTTCGGATCAATCACGAGCTTTTGGTCTGATTTGTAGATTTGGGGGTATCTTCTTTGTACAGCATTGATTGCAGCCTCGGTACAAAGCGCTCGCAAGTCAGCACCGCCATAACCCTTGGTCATATCGGCCAGTTCATCTTTGATGTTGCTTGGAAGAGGAGGATCCCATTCCTTGGTGTGGATGTCGAGAATAGCACGACGTGCCTCGATATTAGGCAGCGAAAAATAAAATTCACGGTCAAAACGACCGGGGCGGCGAAGAGCAGGATCAACAGAGTCAGGTCGATTGGTAGCACCGATGACAACCACTTGACCACGACCATCCATGCCGTCCATCAATGCAAGTAGGGTTGAAACAATCGAGGCATGGATTTGTTCTTGTTTGCTCGATCTCACAGGAGCCAAACCTGGTATAGAATATTAGCGATTGTCAACCATGCGTTCAGAGGGGCTTGTCTTACCGTCAATCTCATCAAAGAAGATGATACTGGGCTGGTTCTTGCGAGCTTCTTCGAAAAGAAGCCGAAGTTGTCGCTCGGCCTCACCGACCCATTTACTCAATGCATCCGCACCCTTTCTCATGTAGAATGTGACCTTGCGTCCTTCTGAGCTGACGCTGTTGGCTAAAGCACGAGCCATGAGCGTCTTTCCGGTACCGGGAGGACCGTGGAATAAAACACCGCGAGGGGGAGTGATTTTGAAACGCTGGAAGATTTCCGGGTACAGTAGCGGCAAAGAAACCATTTCCTTAAGCTGGTCAATGTGCCCTTGCAAACCACCAACATGGTCAAAGTTGACATTCATGTCAACCCCCAGGGGATCCGCGTCAGCCAAAGCCTGCTTGTTATTGAACTTGCCAAGGTTTGCAGGCGTACCGGCCGAGTTCTGACCAGGATCCGCCGACTGGTTGTGGGTGGCTGCAACCGCAACACCAGGAGCACGATTTGGCTGTTGGGCACCTTCATCGTCACTGCTATCGCTGTCCGCTCCTCCGACTGCAGTAGGGCCACCAGGAACACCGAGAATTGCTGAATTACCACCACCACCGAATGGGCCCAACGTGGAGAACAAAGTGCGCTGCCAGCCTCCACCTCCACGGCCACGCCGGGATGGAGAACCTGTCACTTCGTTGTCGGTGTCTTCATTAGGTTGAAGCATTTCAGGTCGAATGATGCGATAATCAACATCCTTTCGATTGCGGCGCGGTTTCTCATACACAACCGTTTGCTTCACACGGCGACGGGCACGACCAGTAAGATCTTCTAATTCTTCAGCGAGTTCTTCCGCCTCTTCTGAGGGTGCGCGGGTTCGAGAAGGCCGTTGGCGTAGGCCAGGGCGCCGACTGGCAGAGCTGTCCTCGGCTTCCTCGCGAGCTTGAATTTCTTTGCGAGGTGAAGCACGCGATTCAGGCTCCGAGTCTTCCTCCTCATCATTCGATGGCTCCTCCTCTGGCTCGAAATCACTTTCTTCGTTTTTGCTTTTCCGCTGCGAGCTTCGAGACGGCTGCTTACGGCTGGATCGACGTAGCTGCGATTCTTCATTCGTCTCTGCATCTTGCGTGGCATTCTCCTCGTGAGGTTGCTCGTGGGAGAGCCTGCCTCGTCGCCGAGTTGTTGAAAGTTCATCAGTGTGTTCGGAGTGGTTATTCTTCGCATCACCATTTTCTGATTCAGGGACGACATCTTCATCCGGCATTTCTTCGTCAATTGGGTCGTGGTATCCATCATTTACTGGCAGTGTATCACCTTCAGCGCCGCCTTGAGGCACATCACTTTCCAGTACCTCCATTTGCGAGCCCTGAATAGTCGTTTCATTGATTACATCTTCAGCATCCTCATATCCTTCAGCGTCTTCATCCTCTTCATCGATGATCGTGCGCTTGGCTATGCGGTCGACTCTGGCATTGCGGCGAGATGGGGAGGGAATCTCGGCTTCCGGAGTATGTGTACCTCGCTCAACGGTATGTATGTGACGACCAGAGTTGGTAAGAGCGTAGATATCCTCTGAAGCGTCACGGGTACGGCGGGTTACACGTTTAGAAAAAGCCAAATAGTTGGGCGGAAGCTTCAACTTGATGACGGTGCTCTTGCGTGGAGAAGCTCGAGTCTCCTTCTCACCATCATCGTTGAGCAGCTCTTCCTCCGAATCTGGTTCCTCGTAGTGCGGGCGACGGCTCTGGGTGGTTCGTCGACGTGCCGTTCCTCTGACATTGCGTTCAACTTCTTCTTCTTCTTCTTCTTCTTCTTCCTCCTCCTCCGATTCTTCTTCCACCTCATCAAATTCAAAATCCTCGGATATGTCTTCCTCGTCCGAGGTGAGACCGTCGTCGTCTGAGCCGCGCCGTCTCTTCTTGGGGGCCCGTCGCGACTTTTTCTTGGGGCTGGCCTTCGATTTCCTGCCGGTTGAACGCGAGTAGTGAGCGTGGTCGCTGTAGTCCTCGTCGTCAGAGTCGGACTTGTTGGCGACCTCGTCCAGAGTACGCTTTGCGCCACGAGCCATGGCGCAGTTTTTGGTGATTAGGGGATCACTTTGAAACCACAAAGTCAGCACAAACCGCTCCAATTTGGGAAGTACAATGAAGACACAGCCTAATGGGCTTTTTTTCCCAGATAACAAGGAAGATACAAAGATGTAAAAGGCAGATTGCCAACGTTGCGCGATGCGGGCAGGAGGGACACCACTTACGAATGGTTCAGTTGTCGCCAGCAACAGCCGGACCACTCGATCGAAAGGAAAGAATCTGCCTGTCACAACAGCAACCTTGACACTTTCTTCCCGACAATTGCTGATCAATAATGTTAGCGGAGACGGCACGGTGGTGGAGCGCAATTGGGGCAGAGGTGGAAGGGTCTCACGGACTCGGGAACGCGTGGGAAAACAAGTGTTGGAAAGCTATCAGCCACCAAGACAAATGCGCAGTACACAGGAAGAATTGTTGAAAGTAAGAGAAAGTAAAAGACGATGGGAATTCGAGGAACAAAGACTTCAGGGAAGAAGGGCGGAAAGGACTCGCGCTCATTGGGGCTGACAGCCTGAATGCATCAGCCACTTATTGTGGCGCCTCAATTAGTCAACAAAGCGCACGTGCCACCCTCCCTCAATGGGGGGAATTGCTTCAATAGCCATTGTCACCCTTCAGCCCATGAATCAAGCCCCCATGAATCGAGCTATTGTAGTCCTCCATTCTCCTCCTGAATTAGCTAAATGGATTCTTTCGGCCATTTTGATGCCCTAATACGGCACATTCAGGATCGCCGGAGGTGTGAGGGAATGACATGATACAATGATGACAGGAGGTGTCAGAAGGCAATTTGGGACATGAAGAAGACGAGAATAGGGCCCTTTGTTTTTTCCTTTTGGTTGTCTTTTTTTCTGCGACGCTTTTGACCGGACCTGATATCATGTGCCGATGACTCAGCAGTGGCTCGTGCTGCCTTGAAGATCTACAAGACAACGATAACTACTCAATACTCATCTAACCCATCCACGCCAATTAATAATATATTGCTGTCCTTCTCATGAAATTTGTCTCATTCTTGATCTCATGCTTTGGTATATTGACATTCATTTTGACATAATTTCACTTATGTTGTACCAAAGTGCCGATAAAGGCCATAAAGACTCTTCAATATATATACCCTGGTAAGGCCCCTTGTGTTGCCATTATCACATTCTAGGAGAGTATTTATTTTCCCCTCTGAATAGGTCCTTTTACAATAGCAATGGATTTCGTTAAATATATACATAGCCCAACCGTTGAATCTTCAACTTTAAGCAAAAGTGTCAAAGGCATCATTTCACAAGTAACCATTTACTTCCTTTCAACAATCCTCCTCCATTTGGACTGCTTCAGCGTCGAGTTAATATGCTCGGCCTTCTTCTCGACCTTCTTGTCTCTTACTAAGTAAGCGCACGACAATATGAGGAGATAAATTCTATCCGAGTACTAGAGAGTCGCTCTCAGTGTATCTCTAACCTTTTTCTTTTCTCTTATAGTGAGCTCACATTCTCGAAAGCTCAAGCAGTATGCGCAACAAGTGGTGCAGTGCTCGGATCCTATGTTTCGTCAGGGAGTAGGCTCGTATTTATCACAGCACCCACGAAGAGATCAAGCTGACAGCAAGCTTTGTTGTTGCCTTTGCTGAACACGAATTTGGATTGCTATGGACATCCGGGTTGTTTATAGTTCTCTAGTGGTTTTAATCTACAAAGAATCTGTTTCGCAGACCATACTGGAGGAGATGTTTTTGGAGATGAATCAGATGTGCAGCAAGTTACCTACCTACTAACCTCCCAACGTCGTAACTCGCACATTATGTAAATATCACATCATTCGGTGGTCAAGCGCCGACGCGCCCAGAAATATCAACTCTCATAATTGAATAGCCCTGGAAGAAATCGAAATTAGGTATGAAAAAAATCTTTCAACTACTTGACCATCGATATAAGCACCCTTCCAATGTTGGGAGAGTCGAGCCCTAGAGGGTAACCCTAGTACGGATTCTTTCAACCCCATTTCTAGCAGATCTGAGCTAGTTCAAAACCATCTATTAACCATTTATCTTGATTTGGTTTGAGGATATAACTCATATACATATGAGAGGGCGCGAGAGAGGACTACACAAGAGACGATGTAATTGACACCTGAGGAATAAACGCCAAGACCGCTATACCCGAAATGGAACACGAACTTCAACATCACCCTGGCTCATCTCCCCGGATATCAACGAGAGAGAAAGCAACTTTCTTTGACATCACAATATGTTTTCACAGTCAGTTCGTCGGTTGATACCGGCTGTAGCGTCTTCTCTATCCGCTCGAGCTCCCATAAGCCGACGCACCTTCACCTCCACACAAGCTATATTCAACTCATCACAGAAGCCAAGTGCATACAAGGAAGGGGTATGTATATGTTTTTCTTTAGGACCGCAGAATTGAATTCCAAGGTTCTAATTTTAGATCTAGATGAACCAATATCGAACCTTCACTGGCCCGTTCGCCAAGGTGTTCTTGGGGGGCGTGTTCGTTTATCAAGTCCTTTATTGGACCTGGTTGAAGTTGGAGATGGATGAGACCAAAGTGGCAAAGAATGGTGAGACCAACGAAAATCAATGCATTACCCTATCATGCATGTTGCTTACCCTTTCCGCAGAACAAGTAGCTGTGCTAGAGAAAGAGGCTCGGGAGATTACTAGCACCCAGAAATGAATCCGGTCTCGAGAAAATTCATGAGAAAACCTGTACCATATTATGTTTCATTGATGCTCAGCACCATATTATATTGTGGCTTTCAATAATGTCATGACAATTCTAGACTTGGAGATACATTGTCTTGATGATCCCAATAAACCAAACAATGCAGAATATTCTTATTATATTACGGGGTTAGGATTCCAGGATTTAAAAACCCCGACACGTCATGCCGCAACATACTTGCGCTTCCGCTCACCAGTCGTTGCAGCCTTTCGGCTGTGGTCAAACGTCTGTATGGGAACATCCTTGGCCTGATCCATCTCGTCTCCTTTGAACGACGAAGACGGGAACCGCCAGTCCTGACCCCTCTCCCCTTTCTTGAAATGCTCAATATCAATATGATTGAACCTTTCATCCAGGGCCTCAGGGCCATGGCTCTTTAGTGGGACTCTGTGGTTACAGAACCCACACCAGAAATGCGACTGGCCAGCCAAATCGAGCCGGTTATTGCCAGCCGAAGCTGTGACGTGATATTCATGAATCCCATGCTGACGCAGGTGGTGGGTATATATGTCGGCTCGGTAGAAAAGCCGCTCACATGAGGCGCCTGTTTGCATGTCGTGTTCTGTGCAGAACCAACTTGGCACACCGAGATGCTGGGAGCTCTCGTGGCGCTTCCAGTCGGCTTTGCTGCCAAAGGACTTGGCGCAGTGGGGGAATGTACAACCGTATGGTCGTTCGTGACGCTTCTGGTGTTTCCTGATGACGTTTGTGGTTAATACCCTGATAAGAACACGGAAGGGTTCGGGGTGACTTACTTCATTTCACAGCGAAGCCGGGTCTGCTTTGGGCACGCGTCACATTGGAACCAGCCACGTTTCTCACTATCAGGATCTTGTACGGCGACTTCGTTGTCACTGGACAACCGTTCCAGGGCCACTGAAAACACTTTCTGCAGCATTTGCCGCTGGGGATGGGAGAGCTGAGCAGCGTCGGTTTCAAGGCCAATTCCCTCGTCGATATTCTGACTTGATCTCCGTCCGCGGTTATTCAACACCTTCGTCATAGCGTTGATTAAGTTATCAGCTGCGTCTGCAACCGATCCATCGGGTCTTGTGATGCCCCGTTCAGCGGACGAATCTAGACTCGTTGTTGACAGACCCAAGGAGCCAAAAACGGGGAATTGAGAGGATGTCGAGTCTGCAAGTGGCGGCGTACCATACTGAGGGGGTCTCGGTGTGGCAGCACCAAACGTGAAGATATCAGTCCTCTGTTGGGACATGGAACCGTATTCTGGCTCAAGATCGGTGGTCGACTGAACGGACGCCTCGTCTTCTTCCACCTCTAATACTGACTCATCTCTTGAGCTATGCTCGTCGAAGCTCTGTTCTGGCTGGTGGAGGATCACTTTCTCGTACCAATCCATGGACCTGTTCACAAATTAATGCTTGGAACATTGGATGTCTCATGTTGAAACTCACTTTTTCAAAAGGGCCTCCCCGTCCTCTTCATGGTGCATCCGGTTCAGGTGTTGTTTGAAGTTATCGAGACGCGGCCACCTCTTGGTCGGTCGCGGGCAGTTTGCCCCAAAACACATGTACATCATCTTGGGTCCACGCTCGGGCTCTTTATTGTGAACGCATTTCTTATGACGGGCAAGATCATTGATGGTGCCAAAACCGTCCTTGCGAGGGCAATTTGGCACGTCGCATTTGAACAGCTTCTTGTGGCGAGCCTCGTGTTTCCTGTGGAAGTTAGTTTCCTCCCATCACAAATTTCAAACAAAAAGACATACCTTTTGTCCGAAGGACATTTCCCAACCCAGTTGCACGATGGGTGCTCGCATCGCATAGAGGCATCAGTCAACTGTGACGGCGAGCCCATGAACTCCGAGGTGTACGATGGCTCAGACACAGATCCATACTGGGGACGATCAAACGAAGGCCCCGACTCGGTAGACATGTTCTCTGTCATGTCGATCTGCGGGCTCGAGGAATCCACGCCGTACGAAGAAGCAACAACGGATTGGGTTGCACAGCTGGTCCCGCCGTACCCTGAATCAGCAGAGTGATAGCTATCCATATACTGACTCCCGTTCTCAGAGGGCTCGCTATAGGGATGTTGCGAGAAGCAGCAGTCTTGGTCGGGTATCTGGACAGGCATGTTCATATGCGAAATGGAAGAAGTGGCCGGGACACCGGTGGCCAGCAGCGGATTCCAGGCATCTTGGTCGCCTGCCAGACGGGAGTGAGTGCATTGAGAGTAACATAGGTCTCGGGGAGTTGAAAAACATTGGCTGAGGAGTGAGTGGTTAAGGGTCGGATCGAAAGATCCGAATTGGAGGTCTTGAAGTGGGTTTGCGGCATCGAAGGGGAGATTTGAGGATTTAGGATCGGACAGATCATGTCCTTCGTGTCCAACCATGATGCCTTGGAGGATATCTGTGGAGTCATTCCAGTCCAGCTGTGTTTCCTGGGGGTGGAGTTAGATTATGATTGATTCGTTTGGAGGGGTACAGAGTAAGCAGGGCACGAACCTCCATGGCTATATATGATATGGTAATATAAAGAACGTGATAAATTTCGTAAAGTTGAGAGAGGATAAGCTCTCAGTTAAATGGGAGGGGCACCGTATTAAAAAGGCTGAAGATGCATGCAAATGCCAAACCCTACACGCGAGAGACACACGCAAGCTCCACACCCTCGCCCCGAGCCGGTTGACTTCACCACGCGATAGGTGATTCAAGGGTTGGAATGTGTTAAGCGAAGATGATTAGGAATATATTCGAAAAGAATCTACATAATTTGAATTTTCTTTTTTTTTTAAAAAAAAAGCAATACTGAAATTTGAGAAGTAAAAAGCCAAGACAAAGTTCACCCTCGCGTGTTGCCAGCGTGGAATGCAACATGTCATCCCTTGATTGCACAGCCCCTTCGCCCGGGTAAATATTAATTTCTATGTTGTAGGCTATGTTGTATGGTAATTTGGGATAATATCCTCCTTAACATGAGGCTGATATGCTAACATCCAATAATGGACCAAGATCACCTTAACCCAGGTCCGATTCACGATCGGCGACACTCCCCTCTCATCACCCTGGGTTCCCGGGGTTGATTCAGCCCACTTCTCTAACAAAATGTCAGATAAATCCACAGCTTACACGTATCACACACCTACCTTCCCACGCACACAGAAAATGTCGTTAGTCCTCCTGCACGAGGCATGCAAGACAAATCCAGCCCCTCATGGAGATCTTAAGATAAGTCTCCAAAGGGGACGAGGGGGCTGCAAGGAAGTAAGGACCGGATTGGGCTGTGACAGGACAGACGATCGGCATAGCTGATCGACGACGATATTCGCTTGCCATGTTCGTGCGGCAAGGGATAAATAAGATAAATGCGCACGTTTATACGCGGTACATGTTGTGCAGTTTCGGATTTAGGAGTCAAGGGGGCTGTCTAACTTTGAAACGCGACAAGTATTTGAATTTATGATGTTGACCTGAGGGATATACTCCGTATCTCTCTCGTATGTCTTGTATGTCTCGTATGTCTCGTACAGTCTTGGATTGCCATTTGATCCCCACATGTCCATAGGGTACTTTATGTTGCTGTGAACCGTGGAACCATGTCCTAAGTGGGAACAGCCTAGTACAGAAGAGGAAAAGCCAAAACATAAATCTGATCTCTCATATGCCATGCACATCGCCGTTTAGCAAAATTACGCCATTCGGTCTGAAACGGAATTCCTGAGCATCCGAGATATGTACAGAGATATTAAGAGCACATGTCGAAAAATAATTGGAGTGTGTTAAATCATCATCATAGTCATCATTCCAGAAATGCATAAGATTGGAACCTGCTTGCATAGCTCTCCTGATGCTGAAAAAAAAAAAGGTACAGGAATTCCTTCTAGTAATCACGCGCCACCTATTAAGATGCAGCTGATGTGGAAGAATTGACTGCAGAACGGAGAAGGGGAATAGGCAGTAACAAAAAAAGGGGGAGAAGACCATCTCAAGGGAGTATCGGATCTATAATCACATTTGGGAGGGACATCCAGAAGAGTATGTCGCAGAAGTGTAGGGGATGCTGGAATCCATGGGTTGGTAAGCCGGGTAATTCCCATCGGGGTACAGAGCGGGATGAGGGAGAAACTGAGCGAGAGGATACGAGGGCTGCATGAGATCTGCCTCGGGGGATCTCGATCTCGGAACGGCGTTATAAGGCGGTGGGTACGTTACCGAGTTCTGATGCAGGGGATAGGCCTGGGCCTGAGCGGGATGGAGCGTAGTTTGGCCAAATTGGTCTGTCGTGTGTGAGTATGCCGAGAACTGATCAGGGGTAAGAGAATCCGTCATGGACTCGGGCTCCATGGAAAGTTCGCCGCCGGAGATGGTGGAATAATTTGTCAGCGGAACGTTGTTGATTGAGAACGCAGGGTTGGTGGGCGTGCTAGTGTTTCGGATCGCATACTGCGGCTGCAGATGGGTGGAGGCCGTTTTAGGTCCTTCGTGTCCAGGGTGATACGGCGCGACAGAGGGATAGGTTGCAGCCGATGATCCGCGATTCGTCTCCACTTGGCTGGGGTTGATGACATAGGTTGGAGCGTTGCTCGGCTTCGCTAATCGCAAAACGGGCAGGGCTAGTTGCTCCAGGTGTTTGCCAAGGTGGACTGACAACTTTCTCCACTCGCTACAGACATTCCCGCAGAAGCGGCATGGCTCCTGCTGGGGGGTTTGCGCAGTGTCATGCCGACATTCTTCGACCATTTTCCATAATCGATCAAGCTCCTGCTCCCTTCGGCTATTCGGCACAGCCTCAGCATCCACAGTGCTAGAGGTTTTGCCCGTCTTCTTGATCTTGGGCTCTGGCATTTTGTGTTCCCGTACCAAATGCTGAACGAAATTGTCCTTACGGAAGCATTTGTGGTTGCACTCGGGGAATGTACATGTCCACCACTCCAGGTGCCGGTGTTTCTCGTTCTCATGGCGAACCCAGTCTGCTTTACGCTTG